ACGATCACTATGTGGCACAGAAACAAAAACTCTGACACAGGGTTAACGCTGCCCAACTGTGCTTGATAATCCCCGGAATGAAACAGAGAGACAATCCATTAAATCAAATGCTGTGATTTAAGCACCGAGGAGAGTGCACTCATTTTTTTTTTTTTTTTCTGATAATGACTCCTGAGGAACTTAATGCATTAAACCCAGAATATGAATAAGCGAAACAGCCTTTCCAAAACATGGGAAACTGAGTTCCACCAGCCCTTTATCACAGAATGAATGGGTAACACATCTGATTGGACCAGGTATTCAAATTTCTTTCCTCCTGTTACGCAATATTGTAGATACTCCTATAGTTGCCTTGTCTGGTCACAGAGAGCAGGAATTAACCAAGAAATCTCATTAATATGATGAAACAATTAAAAATTATTGTGCTAAGAGATGCAAGTGAATATTGGAATCACACTTTTTAGTTCAATAGGGTATTGTAAATAATAAAAATTCAGGTCCTTTCATATCTGTCAGCAGCAATTTTGCTGCATCCCTTAAAATTATCTTAAAATTTGCAGCCTTTATAGTTACTGTGCTTTCTGACCTTTTTTTTTTTATTTATTTTCTCATTCAATATAGAGAAACATTATTTAAAATTGTATAGGAGAAACATAACTTGTAACTCTGATTCTCCACAACCCTCTCTGCAAGGCATCCCTGCAAACCTGTTTAAACTTTTTAAGTGCTTTTCCCCTGTTATGAAATGCCGGTAATAGACAATTTCATCACCAAAATTTGACTATAACCACAAACAACACTGTAGTATGCTGTTTGCACATAAAACCCCAAATTCGATTCTTACATGAACATCTACTTTTTATAGTGATTTTATCCAAAAAGCCCCCCCCCAAACTGTAAGAAGGTGTAGTAGTAGTAGTAATAATAATAATAATAATAATAATAAAAGTAACCACTGTGTGTGTATGCATTTATATACAATCTGTATATATATTTGCCTGTATCTATCTCCCATGTTTTGACATATTTAGGCCAATAGAAGAAGTGTATGTTACTGGAACATTTACTATTACAGTAAGAAGAGCATTGTTATAAACTGTTTCTCCTTCCCTGAACAAGCAAGTCACGATGTTATACTGTACATCTGACACATATCTGCAGAAGCTTGCATACTATAAAAAAAAGTGAATTGTATTTTGAAGACTAAGTCATTTGCAGTGCATGGGAATATTTCAAGTTAGCATTCTGCGGAGTCGTGGAATCACTGCCCAGACAGGTCAAAAGGAACAGCAACACAGACATCTGCATGCTACATCAGAGCATGAAAATGACAGTTCTTTCACCCTGGAAGCGTGTGAAGGTGGCCTTTCCACACACACACAAGTGGAAAGACAACTCAACAGCTGGGTCGTTTTCAAACAGAGCTGCAATGTGGGCAATGCGATGCGTTCTCCTAGTGCTGCTGTTTTCTTTTTGAAAATTTTGGAATTTTTTTGGTTTTCAACTAGAAGGATAAATTAATGACACTGATGTGCAAATCTTAAACTGCATAGTATATATATTAAGCAGCCACAGACCCCTTTTTTTTAGGGTAGGACCACATCCACAATCTCAGCGAGAGACTAGGACAAACCTGACAAAACAGTAAGCCTGAAAGATCAAGTTATGGCCACAAAGGCAACAATTGCTCTTTTCTTTAGAGGCATTACAGATGGAACTGAGCAATCAGAAGCTGTAGAAGTAGTGGATATCATATAAGTTGGTTTTAGCCATGCCCTTACTCCTCTTTAAGTTCGCAGGTGATTTTTTTGTTCTCGTTCCGCTGGTAATTCACAATCTCGTCACGCTGAAGATTCACGCTGCGCCCTCACGAGCAGCATGAACATTCCTTGGACGTTTTTTTTAAACCCATGTCCAAGCTTTTAATCTGCCTGCACGTTCCTGAGTGCCAGTTCTCCTCGGAGCTCACCACAGACCAGTGACAGGTAAGGCTTTTCACTGCCACCATTAGAAACATCTGTTTGCCAGTGCCCACCGAAGTCAGCAGCTGCACTGCCCAGCAAGAACATATTTACACCACGAACGGACCTCACACACCCATCCCGACTCTGCCTTCACTTTGTAACTGCACTCTTCAGCTTCAAACAGTGTTTTTGCTGCAGCAAGGGAGTGACTAAGGCCATTCATGGTGATACTGTTTCCCATTCTTTTTCCTTTCCCTTTGCAAATGTTCCAGTTCAGCCTCATACATCATTTCCTGGACTAGGTATTTCTCCCTCCTCATCCTGTCGCATAAGTCTTTGGGCATGTCTGGAATCAGGTAGGCAATGAAGGACTTTATTCCAAAAACAAGGTGCTGAAAATCAGAACAAAAAATAAGTGCTTCAAAAATGGGTAATTATTCATTTCTAGGTCCACATTTTAAAGCTGAAAGAGCCTGCAGTAAAACTGGAACTGAGGTTCAATTCATGACTGCCAGGCGACTGCTTTGCTTTTTTTAATAAAACCACACGCTCCTAAGGGAATAAATGAGTGGTCTAACAGAAACGGGGAAATGCTGAAGTCTTCTGAAAAGTAAAATTAAGGGTATAGTTAGTGACTTAAATGAAGATGTGACTGCAGGATATGCTAGTCTGATTAACAAATGCAAGCATTAACTACAAGCAGTCTTTGTTAAGGGCTTGTAATGGAAATAGGAACCAGATTCCTGAATAGTATGCAATATATTCTTCAAACTTAATACACAGATTTCTACTTTTATATTAGGTTAGAATAATGTACCATTTTCCTAACACATATTTTATCTTGTAATAACCATGCCTAATGTACTCAACGCTTGCATTTCCTCTTTTTCAATACAATGTGAAAGATTTGGTTGGGAACCAACATGACATATAAGATGACTGTTAAGGAAATACGATTTTAGAGGGACTCTAAAATAAGTGCAAGCTCTGTCAATTCTGTTCGAAGCAGCTGACAGACAACAATTTGGGGAAGACAATTTTTTTTTTCCTGTCTCTTGACCATAATGAACAAGGAAGTGATGAAAACGGAAATTTACTTACAGAACCACTGTAAAGAATCAGCTCAGGCTTTTAAGAGTAAGAAAGGAATTGCTCCTTTCCAAGACTAACCTCAAATACTATGATGAAGGCCAGCCGTGCTGCCAGGACGTGCCAAAACTGCAAAGTGAATTCATATGGAGTTGAACTCCAGGGTGGGGCTCTGTAGTCTCTGTACCTGCAAAGCAAAGAGAAACCAAATAAGTTACCCTGTGCTCAAAAACCCGAACGTGGTCAAGGGATCTCTAGTTCATCCCAGATCTGTCTAAAAGGAGAGAAACTTAAGTGAAAGCAGACTTCAAGAGGAATGGAACAGAAAAGGAGAACAGTCCACAATACTGGGTATTCAATACTGTTGTTTATGAGATGGTACTTTTTGCTTCCAAAAATCCAGAGCAAATAATTTCTTTCATTGTTACAAAGCTGAAGTGTTAAGTTCAAACGTGTTGACTCTCAATTTGTTCTCGTCTTTGTTTGTAAGCACTTAAGGTTCTCCAGATAAAGGCTGGCATAAATGTAACACAATTCTAATTTAAACTAATGCTCATGGAAAAACTTAATCTGAAACCAGGAGTTCACGCATGCAATGTCATATTTCATTTTTATACTCAATTTCTTATATTCATTTTGCATAACTGTTTGCAATCTCAGCCTGGGCTAGAGCCACAAAAACTTTAACTGCGTATTTTAATGAACAGACTTCAGAGTGCTTAACGAAACTGGAATGAGAACTTTTACCCTTCTTGGCAGGTGGTGAAACTTTAAAATTAAATAATTCATAGAGGCATGAAAGATGATGTTTTGCAAGAGTCCTGGAAAAACTCAGAACACAGGTTTTCAGTGTGTTAGCAGTGTGTCCTACCAGACAGTGTTTGCACCTGAAACTTCACGCTGAACAAACATGGAACTCCAACGCTTTCACAGGGGAAAAAGGAAACTATTATACCAGCAATTTAAGCCCTGACTTTGAATTTACTGTCTGCATTAATGTCCATGCTGGGATTACAAGAAGGCAGAGCTCAGAAACGTACCGACAGTATCCCGAGTATCCCATCCCAAGCTCACTCAAATCAAACACTGATAAACTGCTGTTGACATATCCTTTTAAGCATCTGAAAGAAAAAGCCACAGGGTCAGGACCTTCCTCACAAAGTGGTTGTACAGCAGAGATCCTGTATGTAGGCACATTCTGCTATCACACACTGTGAGCACACTGTCTTATTTGAGAAATATATCTGTTATATGTTCAGTATGTCATCACAAAAATACAGCAGCAAAGGTGTGCTTCCACTGAAATATATATGTATATATAAAAAATATCTTAATTACTTTTCTTGTCTGTACCCTTGATCTGTACAGGGACCATATTTGTATGCATAGACAAAACGTGGAATGTAATCAGAAGTAATGGCGATAACAAAGGCATTGGTGATGACAGCCAGAACTCCAATTCCTTCCAGAATTCCATACCAGATACCTAGAAACAGGAGAAACGAAAATAGAGGAGTCATTTAATAATCATATTAATCTAATAATCATATTAAGTCTTATAAAGTCATACTATGATAACAAAACCATTATTAGTCATACAGTTTTCCTTTCTTACTGTGAAAGAATTATGAGTCAGAAAAACTAGTCAAGATTCAGTTTTAAATCAAAAGTAAATGTAGCCCTTCTATTTAATTCCTAAATTCAACTGGTTTTAAACCTGGAGTTCCCCAAATCAGAAGCCTGTTGAGCCTGTTTTCAATATTCAAACTACTACGATTCCTTACTGGCAACGAAAAACAAATCTGATGAGTCCTCTCAACAAAGCGACTGAGTATCCTTTGGTTGCTGAGCAGGGGAGTGGTCACTGAGATCTGCAGGTTATAGCATCATCATATTTCAGGAGTTCAGGTGTTTTAAAGAAGAAAACACAAAGAGATGGTCATTAGTTCTCTCACCTATATCTGTTGCCCTTGCAGGCATGGGCCTCCGCCACTGCGTGACGAACTTGTAGGCGTCCAAGCGGATCTCTATGATGTTGTTCAGCAGGGCCAGCAGAGGGGCCAGAGGGAAGGCAGCCACGAAGATGGTGGTAAAGCCAAACTGCAAAACTAGACAGGCATTTCTGCGGTTAGAAACGGGAAATGTGAAGGATCTTCCAGCAATGCAGCACACGGTTCGTCTTTCCGAAGGAAACCAACACCTCCCCCGAAATGTGCTCACCCATCTCCAAATATTCGTCCATCAAGCCGTGGAGATTCATAGGCTGCAGGTTCCAATCTTTTTCCCACTGAGGTAGAGAAATTTTATTCTCCATTGACTGCCCTCTCCTCTTCATTTTGCGCCGTGACCACCAATTCTGTAATAAACTTTATCAGATAAAAACAGTATTATTGGCTGCATCTGCTCAGTAATTTAAAACTTCAATTGTTTTGAAGCAAGTAGGCCTATTTTGAATAGCACCTGAATGCTTACTTAGGCGAGTTTTGGAAATATTTACAATATCATCTAAGATACAATTCAAAGAACTTATAAAAGTTCTAAAAATTCTGCATTATGATTTTAATTGTCCTTAATGTAGCATGTTGGGCATTGTACAAATAAGCTTTCCAGAGCATGGAACATGTTTACATAGATTCTTTTTTTGGAGCATTTGCCTGAAAGACTAAATAAATAAAAAAAAAAGAAAAAGGAAAAAATGCATAGCAAGAGCAGTAAAATACAAATAATTTTATTTTCAATTCTGTAAAAGACAAACTAAGTGGAGCTCAGTAAGAACCCACTAGAATGCAGGGAATACATCTATTTTTGAACAAACCTAAAGATCTACGTGCCCTACAGAATAGCTTTTTTCTTGAAGTAGGAAAAAGGGTTTAAAAACGTGCTGTTGAATGCTAAAGCTACAAATATTTAAGTCTATTTTTCATAAAGCTGTGCAGATATCTTTTCAAAAAGTAGTAATAAATATTAAGTAGATAATAGCTCACAAATTAAAGTGTTATACAAATACGAAGTATTATCCAGTACTGACAGAGGGGGCAGTTAAAGACTACTGCTTGTTTCTAGATATTAAGGAAAAGAGACTGAAGATGGAAAACAACTTTCTTATAAGTATTTTTATAAACTGCTACTACTTTTTTCTCAAGCTAATTTAGTGTTTGCCTCTTGATCTCTCTTGTTACCGAAAGAGCAATTGTTGTTGCCAAAGTTGTAAACAACTTTGTCAAAACAAAACTCTTCCTCCCATTACAGACTACAAGCATGGTCTAAAATAAATTCTAGACAGAGCTAAGATCCTGCTAGGCTGAGAAGACAGGAAGACTGGTAGTTCAAGTAGGTTTCTCCCTTCCAAAAATCCCCATTTCACAACATACAGTACACTGCCTCTCATTTGCAGACTGATTGCATGTTGTGAGCATAACCCTTTCTGACATATTTTCATGGTTGAGACTTCAATTGAATTAATATTTGATGATCAACCTTTTACTGAAAACATACTCTTCCAGTTCCAAGAGAACTGTTAAGACTCTTACCCCACTAGTCTCTTCAGAAGTTGGGCAGCTCTGTTTGTATCATGGAAAATGAAATCATAATAAACAATTTAGACAGTTAACATACCCCAGGATGCTTTGCCTCAGAGCAGCAGTTAATGCTTTCCTTGGGAACAAACTTAGAGCATGTGAGATGCAAAAAGTGAAAACAGTCTCCAAACGCAAAAATACTTCTTCCTATCACTGACTCACCCTAAAATGTATTCCCTGTTTGTAAAATTAACTTTAACATCTGAACTTACGGATAGCCCAGTTCCATGAAGTTGTTCCACATTTGTTTTAAAACCATAATAACTCCCATTTGCAAGCACAGATCTATCAAGCAGCCACTAGGATGACACTGAAATGAAGGGGAAAAAGATCAGAAGGTAAAATAAGAGAATTCTTTTGTTTTCATTTGCTCAGAGGGTAAACGGAAAACACTAAATACGTTTGGTGAAAAACACCAATCTCTATCTACAGAAATATTAAAAAATATTTATAAGAGAAATACTAACACAGACTTCAGCTGAACAAACTTATTATTTCTTGGAGAACTAGATCATATTACCTAAGTTAAAGGTACTGGGGGGCTAGATATATGACAAATGATACAGACCATTTCACTTAGATCAACACATACTCTTCATTTCAAAAGAACGGAACCATTTCCAAAATTCGAAGTTTAAAGAGAGACTGAATTTCTGGTACTGGTATCTTAACTAAATGGATTGCCATATTAAAATACTTAGTAATTACAGAACCATTTTTTCAGACCATGGACTACAAAGTTATGATGTTTTATTCTATCAACCTTCAATAAAAGAAACCAGGTTTTCAGAGATAAGAGATAACTTCAGCGTGCTGGTGAGTTGCAATCCCAACATCCTCTCAAGTTAAATTTTCAAAATAGTATTTTTCCTCTTTTAAATCATAGAATTATAGATTAGCTTGGGTTGGAATGGACCTCCTAAGATCATCAAGTCCAAACTTGGAGCCTTCTCTTCTCCAGGCTGAACAACTCTCTCAGCCTGCCCTCTTCACAGCAGAGATGCTCCAGCTCTCTGACTCCTTTTGTGTCCCTCATCTGGCCCCATTCCAGCAGATCAGCATCTTTTCTGTGAAATTTAAGAAGCTGATGGCTTTATATTTATGTCCTCTGTTCAAAAATCCCACGTGCTCAGGAGATTCCAATCTTGTAGGACTTGGTAATGCTTGTGAGGTAAAAGGGACTATCACTGTTTACTCTTCCCAAAGACAGAGGCAGAAAGAACTGTGTCTCTTGGGCAGAGTCACTCACCACAGAGGAGAACACGGAAGGAAAAACACATCTCCTGTTTCCTGTCCTTTGCTATAAATAAAAATTTACTATTTGCTGCACGTAGATAGAGTAATAAATCTTCAAAATGGGCATTCAAACTTCAGCCATTTCCTTTTTGCTCCTGGAAATATCACAGGAACACAAACCAGGATTGCTTACCTCTTCCAGTCTCCATCTGTTAAAAAGCTTATTGTACTTCCCTGGGCGGCCTGCAAACCTGGAAAATAAGATTTCTGTTTCTCAGTGGATGTTCCAAGAACACCCTCTATCAGTAGTTATTTCACAACATCCACCGGATAAACTCAGGAAATGTCAAAAGATTAAATCACACAGGCTTAAACCTGGTATCTGTAGGATATGGAAGTTTCAGAATGCAAACAAGGACCATCATTTTGCAAATGATCCTAAGCTTTTATTGTGTCCTGAACAAAAATACTAGTCAGAGGTTTTAGATCTCAGCTATTCAGATCTAATCTAAGGAGATAAGCCATTGCAACACACTGGAATTTAGTGCAGCACAGGGATCTGCTTCCCCCCTGAAGTGTACACTTGATTTGTACAGCAAATCGAATCAAAATTCTTGATGACCTCAGTGAAAGTTATAAATTACAGAGGAAGAAACCCATGCCTGGTCCTACCAGACACAGGAGAGAGCAAGACACAAAGAAGCTTAGATACTGTATGGCAAATGCACCAGTGGATGTAACAAACAGATATCACCAGCAGACTTTACAAAAAGGTTTTTTGTTTTTCTGCTTGTTTGGTTTTGTTGTTTTGTTGTTTTTTTTCCCAAACAATCTTGAACTGAAATTACACTTTATAGAAGGTGCTCCAAAATATTCTGTAGGTTCTGGAGGAATGGTGACCATAACAAAACTGAACCGAAGGTGAAGGAAGGTTAGACCTGCACTCTATCTCATGCTTTGGGATAAAGATACACACAAAAAAAAATTGGATCCAGTATTTTTGCTTCCTACTCTCGCAAAGGACTTGCCAGACAATATTTGCTGCTTGTAGAAATGCACCCTGGGAAATGTAAGTCATGGGGAATTAAAAAGAAAATAATTAATAAAGCCTATTAGCACAGGAGTAAGTACAGACCCACATTTAGGCAGTGGCTGTATTTTCAAAAGCTCTGAATTCTCATTTTGTAGGAAAGTCATACATACAAACCCATTCAAAAAGCAGAATTTTTACTCTCTAATTTCATGGGTAAACATTTCAAGGGCCCAACGTGCACATACAAATAAAAACACTAATTATTCCCACATACAAATAAAAACACTAATTATTCCCAGAAACTGATTAGCACCTAAATCTTACAGTTCAAACTGTGCAAGTTTTCCTTTACGTGCAGGTGGTAAAGATAACTTACCTGCCAAGGAAAAAGGCAATGTAGAAGATAGAGCTGTTCAAGTTGACGAACTGGAAGAGGAACATTTTCAAGGCAAAGCTGTTTTCCCACTCAGATTCTGTTCTAGGGTGCTCTTCAGAAAGACACAATATACATTATATAAGCAAAAAAGAGATCGAGTTATGAGTAACACAGAAATCAACACTAACAAAACAAGCAATGGTTTCAAGCCATGTTGCCTCATCAGGCTGTAAACAATTTTTTTTCCTCTGAAAGTGTTCAGTCTATTGATCACAAAACCACTGCCCCAGCTCAGACTATGCTATTTCTCTGTGGAAACAGGAGATGCAGTACAGGATAGAATCATTATCAAATAGATAACAATTCTGTGGGAAGATACCTGTTCCATTTCCATGAAAAAATTCTGAATTCACTGTGAATCTTTAAAGGTATTTTGATTCAAAGAAAAAAAAAAAACAAACAACACAACAGAAACCAAAACCAAACAAAGACCGAAAGAAATCCAAAACAAAAAGCCCAACCCAAACCAACAATAACAAAAGACCAAAAAGCAAAGGAAAGGACAGAGGTTCTTTTCTTGGCTTCTTTCGGAAAGAAACACAGAAATGCTTGTAGGGCTACAAGTGTTCTGTGTGGGTCTGCACTGCCTTGGATATTTTTTCCTTAAGGTTTGTAGAGTATTACTTATATCTGAATTAGAACTTGCTGATAACGATTCAAAATAAATTTTTAAAAAATTCATCTTTGATGGGTGTGTCAAACTTGGAATATACTACACCAAAAATGACATTAAAGCACACACACGAGCCCTAAGTCTACACTGCCTGGATTTGCCAGTTAAAACTCGTACTATTTAATTACGATGGTCTCCTAATGACTGAATTTGGATACAAATAGATAGGATACTAGCTTTACCTATGGACACTTGTTCCCAGAAGTTAAAGTGTCCTTCTCTGATGTAAAACACCTTAGGAAGAGTAATGAATTACCTAGATCGAGCACCTAACGCCCCATCATATTTAATTCAAGAAACTTCTTTCATATATTTTGGGAAAAAATCCACCGAAACACTCTAAAGTTTCGAGCACCTTGTTTAATACTTCAACCAGAAGAGGGAGCTGATGAATATAAGCAGCCAGCCTGTGTTTAACCAAGACAAGATGACTTGCATGTTTTGACATGGGCTAAAAGTGAGTGTGTAAAAAAACACTAAACGGTAACACATTGAAACAGTCAGAGATCATAAATTCTGTCTTGGTTTTCTTGTTTCCTACGAGTTAGAAAGCTTTTTCTCTCTGACTGAATCATGACCAGAGGCTTCAGTGTAAAATTTTAATGTGACAGAATTAGAGCCACTTTAAAATTCCTGACTTAACGTTTTTGTCTTGGACGACTTAATTTTTGTCTTAACCCATTTTTTTTTCCACATGAAAGTTCAAATTGAAAATTACTAAAAAATAAACAAGGATTTGGAGAAAATGGAAAAAACCCTTTCAGTACTCTAGGAAAGGATGTGTTTTGACTTTTGTTTCAAAATAAGATGACAGTTTTTTCTATGTATATGTAATATGAAGTTTTCAAAACCCTCCTTCATGAAAGCATAAAGTCATTTGCCACAGCCAGCAAGAGCCACACCATTAGTGAGAACCTACATACCTAAGTCTGTCAGGAGGTAGGCAACCTTCTCATACACCTAAAACAGAAGTAAGAGGTGGTGTAAGTATAGCACATCCTGGCTGCTGTGATGTCAAATCCAGAGTGAGAACAAGCACCAGAAGCACAGGTATGTATTGTGCTGCCCCCCAGCATCACAGTATCTGGACAGAGAAGGGAGGGTGGTGCTGTAGCTCCTCATGTGCTGTTTCCTATAAAGACTTTGCTGAACTCCTTTAGTCCCGTTCTCTTTATCCATGTAAATGTAAGTATATATGTTAAATATACAATAAAGACAAAATGAACAAATAAACCAAGATAAATATTCAGACAAACCTATGTCATCTAAAAGTAGACAAAAGCCTTTACACAGCGCAGTTTTCCTTTGCATGGAGGTTCATACTGGTTGAGGATATCAGCCTTCTACAGAAAACTTCCTTATTTTCCAATATATTGACTCTTTATTTTAAATGACAGAGCCCAACCAGGCTGACACGGCCCAGTCACCAACTCTGAAGAATATTTCCTTGAGTATTTACTATAAATAACAAGTTATTTTTGGTAGCTTTGCTTGGTCACCTGAACATACTTTTTATGACTCAGAGTGATCATGTATAATAACAGAAATAAATACACAACTCTGATTGGAAGAATCATTTCTTACTGAAACGAGCACACAATCTCCTTAAGAGAATTAAAAGCCATTGTTTGCTGTTGTTGTTATTCCTTTTCACCTATATGTGCCTGCATGGCAACAGGAATAAGATAAATAATCTTGCAGCTGAAAGAATAGAGTCTCTATCCATGTACACAGTGCTGCAACAGCAAGTGATTAAATCCCTGCTGTCACAGGACAGAAAAACTTACACCAAAATCATGTAGCACAGTCATTCCAGGAATGTGCAACACTGATATCACAGCTGCATTTTAAATGAAAGGGAAAAACTGAAAGTCATCAATTAAAAACAAGCTAAAAAAATAAATTCTCAGCCAAGGAAATTATGTAGTTCCATTTAGAGATGTATTATAAAAGGTAATTAAAAAAAAAAAAAACTAAAATGCAAATGTAGGAAGCAGGGAGTTTGTACCCCTGTGATTTGACAAATTAAAGAGGAATTAGAGAAAACCACTGAGAACCTCCTGAAATGATAGCTTCAGACACTGCCACGTGAATAAGCACCAACATGTGTATATAAGTGATACACGGTAAACTCAGCAAGCTTGTAAAAATTTACTCTTAAATTGATCCCTCCTTTCAAAGAGCGGAAGACTTACCACGTTGAGCGACATGATGATCATAAAATTGATGCAGACACCAGTGCCAGACGTTGCAAACTGCCAGTACTTCTTGATGAAATACCACTTGAAGGAAGCGAACTGCTCCATGGCGACCAGGCGATACACCACCACTGCAAACACTGCAGTGAGGACCAGCGAGATCTGCAGGGGTGCATTTACAAGCAGAGACATCAGCCCAAAGGACAGAGATGACATCTAAAATAATATCCACTGGAATAATAAACCAGCAAGTGTTTTGAGGGTTTGCATTTGCTTTGGAGAGCAGAACTTGAGAGAACAAAAATACCAGATGAGTTAAAAAAATTTTTTTTACTGTTCTTTGACAGTGTAACTATATTCCATCTTCTGAAAGAATGAGATCCCTAAACAAGCAGTAAGACTGAGACAATCAGTTTTGCCTTATATAATCCTAACGAATGCACTACTGACATCAGAGTAAAATTAATTACAATGCAGTAATTCTAATATTATTAAACCTCACCATGAAGAATATTCCTGAGACAGACACCATCAGTCGACTGAGCTTATCAGGGAAAGGTTGAAAAGGTTCAGGTTTTCCTGTGATGGGATTTACTCTTTCCACTTGGGAATATTTAGCTTCGAACTGGGGACGCAGCTCTTCCTGGAACGACAGGATGGATTCCATTTGTTGCATTACTTATTTCTCCCAAGAAGCAGACATATATGTGCTATAAAGCAGGAAATCGCACTGATACAAATTATTTTTTATAATGCTTCAACTCAAATACCTAAATAATTTGTTCTTTTGAAAATCCTTGGATATAGTGCCAGAGACCAGCAAAGGACAGAAACCTTAAAGAGCCTTCCCCACTATGTGACGGTATTAAAAAGAAGACATTTCTGACTTAGACACGAGATTGTCTGCAGAAGTTGATAAGAACACTAATGCCAGTTATAATGGTGCTTTTTGTGATATGAAACCGTTTATTAAAAGCCACCAGCTTGTATCTACCCAAAGCTATATGGAAAGCTATTAAACAAGGAAAGTCTATCAACTTAAACTGCAATTAAATCATCAATACAGTCAAATTACAGCTATGTTAACTAATGATTTATGAAATAATAAAATCATTTTATTATTGCTGATGCTGATAGCAGAATGTTCAAGGGATAATCTATGCCTCTCAGAAGGATATAAAATCTAATTCTGGCCCTTTGCTTGCCTTGGTCCCATTTTTAGTCAAGACCACGAATTTCCACCACAAGAAACCACAGAAAAGAAAGGCATCTGTGCTGACATCAGTAGTAGCTCCTGTACTCTGCACGGGAAGTATTTCTACTCAAGTTTTTCAAAGGATACTTTTGATACCTGTAAAATTGTATTTGGAATTATAATGCTAGCTGCAAAAGGCCAAGTATCCTTGTGTAGTCTCAAATACACCTGTTTATTCTGCAAGTAGTGTTTTAAATAGAAATGCAATCTGAATGACAAACTCAGATGACAAAACACAATATGGATTCACATTTCCACCTAAATCATGCTGACAGCAAACTTTACACGTTTATTTCTGTTTCTTCTTACCTCTTCATCTTCCCAGTCTATGAGGTCCCAGTCATAGGTCAGTACAGCTCTCCGCCTTTTCCAAAACTCTAGGAAGACTGTTGCTGTGGAAAACAACTGCAGGTTAATTACAGCAGAAGGAAAAATAAAAATAAAAAAAAGGGCCACGCAGATCTCATGAAAGTCCACGTAGTCAACAAGTAGTTCTTAAGCTTTCAGAAAACAAGCAGGGTGCCGTTTGATGGTTGAGACAGAAAAGGTTGGCTGTGTGTTGATACAATCTTAAGTAAAACAAAAGTGAGACACTGTCAGCAGAACAAATGATGAATGGTTGCAGTTAAATGCTGTGGATGCAAAGAGGAAAGCAGAGAAAGAGAACCCAAGAATATTATGTAAGCACGCCTCTTCCAAATGTTTTATAAACATCCCTGTCAAAGAAGTGGTGTATCTATTCCCTAAGATATCACTGCAAAGAGGATTTTCAATAAGGAGCCAGGGGACTGTCTCTACTGCCTCTCTGCAGAGTTTTGTAATGGCCAGCCAGGCCCCTTCTGAATGACTCTTCTCAGTTACTTATTCAGTTTTATTTAGCTGGACTCCTCTACAGCAGCAAAACTATGCAATAAAAACAGTCCTCCAGGTTTGGTAGCACACCTACTGTTGAGAAACACTCTTCAGGATTGAAACTGGCACCTAAAAAAAATATCAGCTGGAGTACTCTGAACTACTTTGCCTCCATATGGAGCCAGATCTGATCACACCTGGAGGTTTTTGCCTTCCAGGAACGGTGGCCCAGCACTCAGTGCCAGCGTTCTGGCCCCACGCTGCAGGTGCACAACACTTTTAGCCAAGAACTGAGTCACACACATCTTCCATCAGGTGTTAAGTCACTCAGGCAAACAGGTTTTACTTTTCGTTACAGATATAAATTAAACTGCTAAAAAACCAGGAGAGAGAGTAAGCACATCTTCCCCAGGCCAGTGCTGAGGTCCAGGACGGTGCTAGAGGGGTATGACTTTCGTACCACTGCAGTAGATAAACTCCAGCAGAGTTTCAGACTATGTATTTAGGGTATCAACATCATCAAATATTATATACCTACTCAAACAACCTTTCTTTTTAAGAAAAAGAAAGAACACTGTTGTGAAGAATACTGTTGACCCCAGTATATCACTTGTCCTTTGGTTAATGCTGTGTAAGATTTGGACACAAATTCACGGTGCTTGTTTTCAGATCTCGTGGCCAGTCTGTTAGATGCCTGTCCCACCCAGGCATAGCAGTAAATGTGGAGTTGGGAGCTTGCTGGTACACTCTGCAGAGAATGTTAGATTCCAAAGAAATAAACCAAAAACCAGAAAACCAAAACCACAGTATGAGACTCTGTCCTCTCTCCGACCACTCCATCTCACGCCACAGAAACAATTTACTTCCCCTAAAAGGGATATTAGAAAGAGTAGAACTTGATCCATCTAACAGAATAATTTCCACTTGTCTGCGCAGTATTTTCAAGAAAACACCACCAGCTGCTTCCACATAAACACTTCCTGTAGGTACCATATCCTCAATGCTTATCTCAAGAATAAGTTGTGAAACAGTATTTGCACTTGGTTCTTAAAAAATTTAAAGTGGAAGCAGATGACAACACCCTGGCATTCCACTCAAATGGTCACACAATACTGAAACATTTTTCAGTCTCTCTTCACCACATACCAGCCTAGAATAAATATACATAAAGGATTAAAGGATTAAAAAAGTCACAGGTTGACTAGGCGAGCAGATGAAGTTCTATATTACATACCTGACTTTTTCATTCCTACCTTAATCCAGTATTTTTTATACAAAACCTAAAGGGAGGAGTAACAGTTGTAACCTTCAGATCCTGAGCTGGTTATGTAAAAATTAATGATGCCTGATAAATTAAGGAAATTTGGATTTGCGTCGTTCTCTCAAATTATTGCAACTATGAACGTGTTTGGAGATAAGGAACGGACCCATTTCCAGCAACATGCTTTTCTTAACAGAACTCCTATTGCTGCTTTATTTTGTGGAAGACAGGCCTTTGCCAGTCCTGATCTCACCAAGTGTAGGACACTGCGATAAGGAGCAGCTATCTCGTGTTGCACGGTACACAGAGCAATGGTTCCTACAGCTTACAGAGAGCAGTCACTGCTGCGAAACACCAGCTCAAAGACTTTGAAATTATGAAGCAATAAGCACTGTCTGCCCACTTTGCTATGAGCAGCACTGCAGTTTCTGTGGACTCTTGTAATGACAGAGCTGGGGCGAGGGAAGGGCTGCCCCGCCTGTCACCGGCACGGCGTGTTCCTGTACCTGCACTCCCCCTCCCCACCAGAATAACTGCACAATAACTGCACCCTGGGCCACAGCACTGTTTCAACAGCTTCTTCCCTGTTTTGCAGAGCTCAGAGGTAAGTCTAAAGGGGTTTTTTTTTCAATGCTTATCAGCGGATCTGATTAATGCCCACACTATTCCTTTATGTTGTGTTTGGGCAGGTGGCTGGTACTGCTGTAATCAAATTCTACTTAAGAATGTATTTCTGGGAAAATTGAAAGCCCCAAACCATTTTGTGGTTGAAACACTAAAGCAGAGAAGTAGTAATCATAAGAAAGGATGCTATTTCCCTCAAACTCATACTTTTCTTTTGTGGTCATTTATGCTCCTTATCGAGGAAGGGTAGAATTTCCCTCAAAGTGAGTTCAAAACCCATTTAAAACGCTGGGGAGCGTTGGTGGTGGTGGTGAAGTATTCCCTGTACGCCACTTTATAGCCAACTTCTGCTAGAAACTACATTGTTATTGTTCTGATGGGTTTGGTTCTACCGAAAAAGAACAGGAAACGCACACTTGGGAAGTTTGGCCAGTGCACTTGTCAAGCTGCTAGACAGTAAATGAGGGTATAAATTAAATTAATTATAGACTACAATTCATATTTATATTCCTCTTCATAATTCACCCCAAACTAAAAACATAATTTTTTCAGAGCAAAAAAATACATTTAAGCTTAACAATGTAATATTAATTGCTCATTAAATTTAGAAGTATCCAATTCTTGGAGAGCAACCTGAATTTTAGAGCAAAGTGCCACATGAGCAAACATCCAGTATGTTTCTGGGACCATCATTTGCAATTATTTCTTTCTGAATTCTAGAAGTTAAATTCTCTACCTCTCATTTTATATGTTTCATCTATTTTTGGTTCACTGACAGAAAGATAAAAATGGTCTGCTTTATGAGGCTTTTTTAGAGTGTGAAAATTCCGCAAATATGAACATTTTACCTCAGATCAAAAAAGTGCCATTAACTATTTGTTTATCCCATCACCACTTGCTCCACAAATTAAATTACTTTCTAATAACTAATGTAAGGTAGGGAAATGGTGAAAGGTTCAATATAATGACATGTAAAAGAATGCAATTTGAATTTATACTTCTGAAGACTCTATTTTCTATCCATAAGGAGTTGAAATTATCATTTTCTTGACAATAGCAGAGATTTTGCAGACATTATGCCTATCACTGGTAGGTGCTGGGTTGTAGTCAGGAAATACATATTGCAATTACTTTATCATGCTGAAAATCTCTTTTTACCCACTAAGGTTCACATTGGAGGGCCATTTTTATGGGAAATTGCATTCATATCCTGGTGAATTCCTCAAACAAGAGCCAACTACATCTCTTCATAAAGCCACACACTGAATGAGAAATTTTAATCTTCCCCCTTCTAGAAGTGACTTTTTGTTCTTACTCAGCTGTCACAGGCCTGGGATGCAATTCGACTCCAGCAGCACAGACACAAACGCAGACTGCATAATGCACTAAGAAACATAATGGTGACCATCCTGTGTAAAAAAACCCTCCTTTTTCATGCTAAAAAAAAAAAAAAGTAGAGCTAATCTAGGTAACTGAAGTGCAGCTTAATCCCATACTGATGGCAGTTGCACTCACTTCAGCCTACACCCACTGCACTGATTTCCACTGGGCTGGTACCTGAGGAATGTGAATACCAGTGAATCAAAAATCACAACTTTTTTTTTGTTGGTTTTTTTTTTCCATTAATAATCTGCTCAGAGCTTCCTTAAATGCCTACTTGACCTGCTGAGGTTTGATCTCTTCTGCAAGTTTGGCTAATCTACAGCACCGCTGTTTCACTGCAAGAGCGCTGTTTGCATATTAATTCCTAAAGGTAATGAGTGTCTCTGAAGAGCTACAGTGTTTTTCTAAATTGTGTGAACATCAATATTACACTAGAAAAAAAGAGGAATTAAGTATTGCACACAAAAGAAAGCAGCTCAACACAGCTCGAGATCTACAACTTTTAAACCAAGAGGTTTCCTCCCTATGGTCCCCCACAAAGATTGCAGGAGAAAGACAATCGCAAAAACGACAAAGGATTTGTTCAGCAAGGAGACTGACTCCTTTTTACACTCTTCTAGGAATGGAAATTAAAGTCAAAGTAAATTGAGCGCAGTTTTCCTCTGTGGTTCAGTTGAAGTGGATGGATATTAAGGAATTTCACCAAACACAATTTGTTCACTAATATGCCTAACGTGATAATACAAGAAAGGAAAGGACATGTCACTGAATTAAAAAACCACCAGTACTGTTAAAATGAAAGCATGTGTTTGAAAACCTTGGGTTTTTTTCTTCACGTTTGTTTGGGGTTTTTTGGCAGTTATTACTACAAACAAATCAAAATCTAAGATTCAGACAGCACAGCATTTCGTAGCCATCTGAAGGCCTACTGTTCTCACTGTAAACACAATTGGAGATGATAATTTAACTTCAAAAGGGTTTTCCTTGGCTTTCTTGTTTGGGAACAATGTAGTTATCCTGAATTTCACTGATACTTGAGTAGAAGTTATCTTCTTTATTTTCGTTGAGAAAGTTACAAATGTTTTCCAAGCATAGATCCTTCCCACCACAGAGCTGATCTTAGCTTGGAAAATAGGCAGGGTGGAGAAATGGAATACACATTAAAAAGTAGTTTAAATGGCATTTTATAAAAACACATGTTTTGAGTAATGGTGGGACCTTCAAACCACAAAATAAGTAAGAATAAAGCCAAAACGAGATACCTTGACGTAA